CATGCTGTCTGTTCCCTGCCAGTCAAGGCCAGCTTCATGAGCATGCAACCTGTGCAATGATATTGAGCCCCATGCTTTAGAAAGGTCCACAGTTGGTTTACTCTTCTGCTGTATTCTGTCTTGGGATTCGTAATACTGTTGAACAAGAGGCTCTGCATTTATTTTTTTTCACTGGGCCCCACAGATTACATGCTGACCCTGCTGCTGGAATTCTGGCTCATATAAAGTTATTCTTTTTTTTTTTTTTAAGAAAATTTTTTTGGAAGATTTTATTTGATTTATTTGACAGACAGAGATCCCAAGTAGGCAGAGAGATAAAGAGAGAGAGAGGAGGAAGCAGGCCCCCTGCTGAGCAGAGAGCCTGATGCGGGGCTCCATCCCAGGACTCTGGGATCATGACCTGAGCCGAAGGCAGAGGCTTTAACCCACTGAGCCACCCAGGCGCCCCTAAAGTTATTCTTGATAAGAAGGAAATGACAGCATGAGCAAGACTTGGAGTAAAAATGCACTCAGTGTATCTGGTGGATGGTAAAGCGTGGCCATTTCCGATCTTGCTGGAAGGGTAATCCATCATCACGGGGACAGCGATCTCGTGGTGATCTGGAAAAAGCTGATGGATGGGGTCTGCTGCAAGACAGCATGGCCTGGCTGCAAAGGATGCCCAGTGGGTCCTGGCTTAGGTCAGGTGAGGGTTGGTTTGAGAGTAACCGGTTTTCCACATTTCAGCTTTGATGTCATACCCCTATTCTGAAAGTCTCTGCCTAGATATGATGAGTAAGACTCCACAGGTAATGTGTACACATTCCAAGAAAAAATATGTTAACATGCATTAAGCTCATTTTATTCGTATAATATGCCATATAGCAATAGTGCGGCTGGAGTGACATGATGTTTGATAAACATTTTTATTGAAATATAGCATAGAGAGAAGTACTCAAATCATAAAGCATATATAGTTCAATTAATTTTCATAGTAAATACATCTGGTACTCTGATAAAGAAAGAGTATTATAAGCTCTCCTGAAAGCCCCCTTGTGCCAACCCTCTCTCCAAAACTGACTACTGACGCCACAGGGAAGTGTTACCTATTTCATGGAAAAAGAATCATACAGTATAAGTTATTTTGTCTCTTTCTTATTTTAGTCAGTATTATGGTTGTGAGATTTATGTTGTATGTACTTTTTTAAGATTTTATTTTTAAGTAATCTCCACACCCAACATGGGGCTTGAACTCACAACCCCAAGATCAAGAGTCATGTGCTCTACTGACTGAACTGGACAGGCCCTGCTTATGCTGTAGGCATGGATGATTTGTTCATTCTCTTTGCTGTGTAGTGATCCATTGTAAAAGTATTTCACGCTGAATTTACTCATTCTAGTATTTATGGGCTTTTGGTTTTCAGGTTTTCATTATTATGAGTAATGCTGCTATAAACATTCTTGCCATGTCTTTTGGTGCACATGTGTGCATTTCTTTGGAGTATATATTTAAGAGTGCTGTACTGATAGGAAAGTTGTCAGCTTTAGTAGACATTGCCAAAAAAATATTCCAAAGTGGTTGTATCACTTTATACTGCTACCACTGATGAAGGAAAGTCTCAGTTGTTTCAGATCTTTAACAATACTTAGTGTTGTTTTTTTTTTTCATTGTAATCATTCTGCTGGGTTCACAGCAATTTCTCATTGTGACTTTAATTTGCAATCATTCCCCTGATGACTAATGCGGTCAAGCTCCTTTTCGTATATTATTGTCCATTTGGATATCTTCTTTGCGCAGTGCCTGTTGATGTTTATGCCCATTTTCTATTAGATGATAACTTCTTTTTTTTTATTGATAGTTTTTTGTTTAAGTCCTTTTTTGTTTATACATATGCAAACACCTAACCCCACTCATGATTTGTCTTACTCCTTTCTTGGTATCTTTAGACAAAAGGAATTCTTAATTTTAATGTAGTTCAATTTAGGATCTTTTCCTTTATGGTCAGTACTTCTTGTGTCCTATTTCAGAAATCTTTGTCTCAAATCCATGAAGATGTCTTCTATTCTCCTATATTGCCTTCTAGAAGATTTATTGCTTTACCTTTCACATTTAGATGAGTAATCAAAATACTAAATTGTGAGAGGTAGATATCAGGGTTCATTTATTTCCACATAAACAAATGAACTATGATCATTTATTTAAAATACCATCCTTTCCCTATTGTTCTCTAGTGCTACTTTTGTTATGAATCAAGTATCCAAATAAGACTGGCATTAGTATTGTGGTAATGCTGGGTTTATAGATGAGTTATATAGAATTAGCATTAGTTATTTCCTAAATGTTTGGTAGAATTCACTACTACTGTTGGAGAGAATGTTCTATATATATATCTATTAGGTTCATTTGGTCTACAGTGTTGTTCACATCTGCTCTTCCCTTCTTGATTCTCTGTCTGAATGATCTATCCATTGTTGGGAGTGGGTTATTAAAGTCCCCAGTGATTATTATATTGCAGTTTACTTCTCGTTTTAGTTGTTAGTATTTGCTTTATGTATTTAAGTGCTCTGATGTTGAATGCACAAATATTTATAGTTGTTTTATCTTCTTGATGAATTGACTGCTTTCACACTATATAATAACTTTGTCTCTTTGACCACTTTTAGCTTTACATCTCATTTGTCTGATATAAGTATAGTTATTCTGCTTTCTTTTGACCACATTTTGCTTAAAATACTTTTTTTAATCCCTTCACTCTAAAGTCTGTCTGTCCTTAAAATTAAAGTGAGTCTCTGGTAGGCTGCATTTTGTTAGGTCTTGTGTTTTTTATCCACTCAGCCATTCTATGTCTTTTGATAGGAGAATTTAATCCATTCATATTTAAAGTGATTATTGGTAGGTAAGGACTTACTGTTGCCATTTTTTTAATTGTTTTCGACTGTTTTATAGCTCCTTTGGCCCTGGCTGCCTCTCTTGTTATCTTCTTTTGTGATTTGATGACTTTTTATGGCAGCATGCTATGACTCCTTTATCATAATCTTTTGTGTACTTACTACAGATATTCCTTCACATTTACCATGAGGTTTACATTTATATTTATAACATCCTATGTTAACCTGATAATAACTAGCTCCTCATAACCACAATTCTACTTTCTGTCTCTATGAATTTGACTACTCCAGGTCCTTCACTTTAGTGGAATCATACAATATTTGTCCTTCTGTGTCTGGTTTATACACCTAGCATAATATGTTTAAGGTTCATCCATGTTGCTACATGTATAAGAATTCTGCTCCTCTTAAAGGCTGAATAATATCTCATTACATGTATATATTGTTATATTTTGTTTAAGCATTCATCTGCCCATAGACATCTGGGTTGTTTCCACCTTTTTAGCATTGTGAATAATGTTACTACACACAATGGTGTAAAATATCTGTTCAAGACCCTGCTTTTAATCCTTTTGTGTGTATACCTAGAAGTGAAAATGTTGAATCATATGGTAATTCTATGTTGAATTTTGTGAAGAATCAACATATTTCTATCAAAGATGCACCATTTCATATTCTCACAAGCAATGCACAAAGGTTCCAATTGCTCCACATCCTAGACAAAACCTGTAGGTTTTTGGTTGGCTGGTTGGTTGTTTCTTGATTATAATAGCTGTTCTAATGGGTGTGAAGTAGTATCTCACTTTGGTTTTCATTTGTATTTCCCTAATGATTAGGCATGTTAAGCATCTTTTCACATGTTAATTGGCCATTTATGTTTTTTCTTTCAGGAAATACTTATTCAAGTCTTCAGCCTATTTTTGAACTGGATTGTTTGTTGTTTTTGTTGTTGAAGAAAAATATTTTAAATAAGATAAACTGATATAGTATTGCCAGGATATGGTATTCCCTAATATGATGTTGCCAAAAAAGTTTTTGAAATGATTAGCAGTGCATATTTCTCACAAAGGAATTTTATTCAGGGTATGTAAAGAATTCCTACAACTCATGAAGACAAACAACCCAATTTGGAGAGGATGAAAGATTTAAACAGACACCTCATAAAATAAAATTTACAGGGGCGCCTGGGTGGCTCAGTGGGTTAAGCCTCTGCCTTCGGCTCAGGTCATGATCTCAGGGTCCTGGGATTGAGCCCCGCATTGGGCTTTCTGCTCGGCAGGGAGCCTGCTTCCCCCTCTCTCTCTGCCTGCCTCTCCGCCTACTTGTGATCTCTGTCTGTTAAATAAATAAATAAAATCTTTAAAAAAGAAAACATACAAATGGCCAGTAAACACATGAAAAGACACTCAACATCATTAGTCATCCAGAAAATGCAAATTTAAATCTCAATGAGATACCATTACACACCTATAAGAGTGGCTAATATTAAAAATAAAAATATTACTATACATTAGGATATGACAGAACTTATACACACTTTTATGGGAGTATAAAATGGTTCAACCAATTTGGAAAAACATTTTGGCAGTTTCTTAAGAAGTAAAACACATTTATCATACATCCCATCAATTTTACTCCTAGATGGTTACCCAAGAGAAATAAAACATGTCAATACAAAAACTTGTATATAAATGTTCACAGCAGCTTTACTCCTAGTGGCCAAAAGGTGGACACAACTTAAATGTATATGGACAAACAGATCGTGGTATGTCATAAAATGGAAACTACTCAGCAATAAAAAGGAATAAACTATGGATACTGCAACATGGATGGCTCTCAAAAATATGATGCTGTGTAAAAGAACGGAGACACCAAAAACTACATACTATATAAATGAATTTATATCAAATTTTAAAACAAGAAAAACTAGTCTATTATGGTATAAAGTAAAGAAGGGTTTGCCAGGGCCTCCAAGGGAGCAAATGGACTGAAAAGGAAAACAAAGGAAATTCTGGGAATGATATAAATATCCTACAACTTGATTGTGGTGATGGTGGTTCCATAGATGTACGCATTTCTCAAATCTCATCTAAATGTACACTTATAATAGGTGCATTGTACGTAAATGATACCTCAAGAAAGTCAAATTCTGAAAAAGTAATTTCTTTTCGTAACCAAGGAACTATGATGATAATTGAAGTTTCCCGACTGTGAGGATATACTTAGGTCTGACCTAAGTATGACAAATCAACACCTTACATTGAGGAAGGCATGTAAGTACTTGCCTTCCTTTATTCATAAACTGAAATAATTGTCCATAATCCCATTAGTCAAATAATTACCTTTCCTCTTTCTTTTTTAGATTTTCTGAATTGACTACTACATTTTGAACAAAAAGCTAAAGAATAGAATAATATATATTTAAAATGTTTGGGTTACCAGAGAGCAAAAATCATTAGTTATAACATTCGCCAAGTAAATGGAACAAAGCATTTCAAAATTACTTCTTTTATATTTCAAACATACTCTGTTGTGTTGAATGACCCTTTAAACATAAACCAAGAACATGGGGAGTTCCAAGGGTGTCACCTAGGTCTTTAGTTCTGTTACTGAACTGTTAGATAAAATTGCCTACATTTTTTATTTCAGAGCTCATGAAACTGTACAAGGTCTATTTGCAATTTTGTGTGGATAAAATATATAAGCCCAGCGAAGAAAGTTTCTATTTAAGTCATAAGGAATTCATTGAAAAATAATTATCAAAAATAACATATAGCATTTTGATACTATGAATAAAAAGGACAACCCAACAATAAAAATATACTCTTCCGTTCTACAGATCAGCCTCAAAGGATAAAATATTGTTACTAACCTGCGAAAATAAATCTAATTCTTGCCGTGGACATAGCCTGGGTAGAATACTGTATTTGATGGACTCGTCTCCTATGGTTTGAGATTTTAACACTAAGAAAATATTCTTGTTTTCTTATATTTTCATGACAAAATAGCATTCTTATTAAAAAGGTTAGATAAGAAAAAAGGGAGAGAGAAGCAGGGAGAAGGGAGAAAAATCTCACCTAGAATGTCAGATTTCAGGAAGATGTCCTAATGACCTGAGTCTGTATATTTTTCTGAGGAGGTGTGACTTCCACAGTGTGGCTGCAGTTAGCTGTGGAATAATTACACAAATTGCACTGAGTCATTTTACTCAGGTAAATTTGTCCCTTAAAACTAGGAAGTGCTGCCAACTTGACCAGAAATGTGTGATTTTAAAAATTTTTGAGAAAATAATTTTCTCTTCTTCAATTTGTACCATGGGATCCATGAACAAAGCCAACTCTTCTGTCCATCCAGAAGAATGTTATCTCTGTGTGTTCTGATTTTCTGGTTTTGAATTCTACATAATCATGAAATTCGGGACTTGTATTCCCTCAAAGCTTTTCCACTGCGATAGCATGATTTACTAGAAAGTTACTTACCATATAACACAGCTTCAAAGACCAAATCCCTTTTATTTGCTCCTTAGAATTTTTCATTACAGCAATATGAATTAATGCCAGTCGTGACACCAGGAGAGATCAAACTGAATCTTCCACAGAAGTCAAGTAACAGGAAGCTCACAGGGGGTGAAAGAAACGGTGATATGCTCTTCAGTGGCTGATGGACTCTGCTCTCTGTTTATGGGGGAAAAAAAAAAGGTAGCAGAATTGAATAAGCCCCCAGGGCATAAAACAAACTGCAAAAATAAATACAAGGAGAGTGATTCACAATTTAAAAATACATAATCAATAAGGATGGGTGGATATGGCAGCATTTTGAGATAGAACTGCATTTTCAACTATTTTTAAAATGTTTCCCATTTGGCAGAACCCCAAATGGGCTTTGCCAAGCACTTTTTCTTCTTAATTTTTAAGTGCGTATGTATTTCAAGGAAAATTTAATCCATATGTTCCTCTCTCATTTACACAATTTATCAAAATGTTGCTTTGAATGAGCCATTTAATGTCTAAGAAAACTGAAATACTTCCCCCCCATAGTAGTTTTTAGCTTTTTTTCCTCGTGAATTAAATATGTGTTTGGTACTACATATGAAGCTAATTGAAAAATATTCAATTCTGTTTTAATATTCAGAATCAAATAAAGTCCGATAAAATTAAAAATAACAGAAGATACATTCCTCTATACTATTATATTTTCAAGTTTCTAAAAGACTTCTTTCATTCACATGGTTCCTATAAATCAGAGAATGCTAGAAGGAAAAGATACCTCAGAAATGTTAAAGTTTTTTTCTCTCACTTTAAAAACTAGGAAACTGAGTCCCAGAGAAATGAAAGAATCTGCCAAAATCGCAAAACTAATTAGTGGCAGAGCCAAGACATACATCTTCCCATTACAGTGACTTCTTTGGTTTTTCTGATTTTAATTAGGATTTTATCTATATCTAAACACATAGAAGTATCAGTATAATACTAGATCATAAAAAGGCAGTGCTCACTTCTGCATGGAATGTATCTGCCTGCTTCCAAAAAGATCAACACTGGACAACGGATAGGCTGGACATGAGAAGTTCGACATCTTGCTGTTGCCATTGGGAATTTCAATGACTCAAGGTACCATGTGATCCTAATTGCATCTACCCATTACCGTCTCCACAAGTGTAGGTGATAAATCCATAAAAGAAAAATTATGTCCCATTATACTCTCAACCCTTACCAGTAAGATGCTACAGAAAAACAAGCTGATTAGGCTTTAAGGCTAAGGACATTTCTTCCTCCCCTCTTCGTCCCCCTCCTCTTCTTCTTCTTCCACTAAAGGGGATCATTGTGTGGGACCCAAAAATCTGGTGATGGGCATTCCACGATGTCTGGGGGGTCTCAGTGAAGACATGAGTCCATGGGATAGGACCGAGGTACACCTTTGGTTCGTCCTCTGTTACCAATGTCTTCAGGCAAGAAAAAAAGGCACAGATGAGTAACAAACTGCTATTCCTAGGGAAAGAAAAGAAAAGAACAGAAGACCACTGGTGCTTCCATTTGTTATGTTAGCAGGCAGTCATAAACTACAGACCACAAATCACAATCAAAAGAACTTTGTAAAATTCTGTAACCTTGTAACTTACCAGTGTTTATATTGTGTTACTCTTTGTTTTGTAGCAGCAATTCCCAGCAAAATCTTATTTTTTTTAAAATATGATGGGAGGGGGCATATAATATGTGTATGTCTTTTGGGACAAAGGAGAGAATTGGAGGACCTTTTTCTGGAGGTAGAAACCAAAATCATACAGTGCAGAGCATCTCAACCACTTACTAATTGTTTAACCTTGAGTCTGTTACTTAACAACCTCTCTCTGTCTCAGTTTCCTATGTATAAAATGGAAATAATAGAGGACCTACTTCATAAAGATTAGTGAAATAATACATGTAAAGTACTTAGGACAGTGTTTGCATATAATAAGACTTCAGTAAAAAGAACTGGTTGCACTATTATTATTTTTTTTTTACACTAAAATAAGGAAATAGGCTGAATTCCCAGGACTCGTGGCAAACAGAAAAAGAATATACAGGGAGATCATTTAGGACTGATAAAGAGCTCTGAGTCTTAGCAATCGTAAAGCTATTATAAGTTTACTGAACTGGGATTCTAAACCAACTACATACTCAAATGCCAAACAAGGACTCAACTAGTGCTACTGCAATGAGAGCCCATATCATTAGTACCTGTGGTGTTTGTGACGTTGCAACCCTACCTTCTTCTAGCTTGATCTCCAGCTATTAAAAAAATAGTGTATTCAAAGACTGGACAGTCATTTGTACCCAATGCAAAACACTCAGGAATCTTCTTAGAATTCCTGGTTTTGGCAATGATGACCTTAGACATGATAGCTTTGGGGCAGGAGTGAGATGATTTCTGAGTTTTTTCCTTGGTGAAGTTTTCTCTCTTTTGATTGTAATTTGATTAGTTTTACCAGATGATACATGGATTGGAGAGCACCGTGGCTTGAGAAGTGGGAGGTCCATGATGGCAGCCTTGGCCTTAGGTACCAATCTGAAGACAACTTTCTATTTCTAGGGGGTTCTTGGTTATGTAAAAATGAGGTGAGATTTAATGGTCATAAATGTCCCTACCACTCTAATATGTTGTGACCTATAATAGTATACTTAGAAAACAGTACGATTAGTTTTCCTGGCCCTCATTCCTTTATCACCAGAACAGATTTATATATCACCTTTCTTTGAAAGTTTCATGCATTTTATACACGACAACTGAGAAAAGAGAGAGGAATGTGGTGAATACAATATACTTTTGCACTAGATCTGAATTTAAATCCGAAGTCTCCCACTTTATCAATGGCTCAATATTGAGCAAATTACTTAATTTCTCTAAGTCTAAATTTGCTCAATCATTAAATATGGTTCGCGTTACCTCTTTCATAGGGTTGTTCAATAATTACTGAGAGAACATAACTCATGGGCTTACCTCCTAGTAGGTGCTCCAATAGAAGAGAGTTATTATTCTTGGTGTAGGAAAGGAAACAAATTCAAGCCTGGAAGAAGGTCTTGCATCGAAGGGAGTGTCAGACTGCATTACGCACATGAATGATGCTCCCCAAATCTAAGACTGTTGCCATTTTTTGTCATGTGCTAAAACATTATCAGTAGAGACCCTGGAGGAAGAAACGTGACGGTGCTCATTGAATGAATTAATGAAGTTGCTCCCTTCAGCCAGGACTCTTGGGCATTGCTGAACACTTCCACAATGTGTTAGAGTCAGATTATATCATGAAATTGACTACTGTATCCACTGTACCCAGACATTTTGAGCTTAATGGACACAAACACATAATGATGAGTAAGTGAAGTATTTCCTATTTTGATGATTTTTTAAAAATTAAGTTTGTCCCTGATAGGTCTGAAATGGCTAAAAACATTAATTTTTCATAAATGGGAAGAGTTACATGGGAATGCACCCAAAGAGGATAATTTTAAGCCATGCATAGCAATAGTGAACAAGCATCGTCTCATCAAAAGGGCTCTACAGATGGACAGTTCCTTCTTGATATAAGGAGACATTAATAATACAACCTATTTTCAAGCTTGACCCAGGGGCATCTTGAAAGGAAGGATACCCATGAACTTCAGAAGGGGGTTCTGGTTGCTGAGATCAGGCAGGACCACTGCATTTGAGCTCTCCGTTGACAGAGGAGGTCTGGAACCAAGAGACCAGGGATTACTCTGTCCTCTCTCCAACCTCCCTTGGGTTATTATTTTTGTTGCCTGTGTCAGTTTCCTATGATGATTATCAATAAAAGCTCTAAGGTCATTAAAAAAAATAATGTGTATTCTGGAATAGTGGTGGAAAACTGTTCCACGCTCTGCAGCCAGACTTGAATGTGGGAAGGAAAATCACAAAGGATGGAGGAAGCAGGCTGGGTCCCAGAGGCCTCTGTGAGGAGGAACAGAGAGGATCAGGGCCAGAGAAGGGATTCTGAGAATCCAGATACAGTAGGATCAACCAGGGAAACTGCTTTCTCTTAGTTTCTAGCAAAAAGGTTTGGGGGTTTATTTTCTCCAGATTTGCAATCTATTTAGTCTATCTGTACTCTAGTACATAATAATTCTTTCTTACAACTTTCTTACAGTGCCTTCTGAAAGAGTTTATTTTCTGGGTTTGGGAAATGCTGAGAAGTCCAGCTCACTAGGAAATAAATTCAACCTGATTACTTAACCAAACTTCCTGAATGGCCAATATATAAATTTATCTCCAACTCAAAAATGAGCAGAGCATTGTCTTACCAAATATCATCATTTCCTGCCTTTGAGAAGAGACTAGAAAGACTTGTGCTGAACCATTTAGAACATTTTAAGGTATGTCTTCAGCTGAAATCTGAAAATCAAAGTGAAAGAGAAGAAAAATGAATATATAAAAACAAAATTTGTGAGCTTTGGGAAACAACTGGTTTTGGGAAAAAGCTAATTTTCAAAGGTCTCCATCTGCCCCATGGCCACTCCCTTCTCTTCTAGGGCCTTTCCGCCTCTCTTCATTTCAATTTTGAGTTAGAAATACTGGAACTGATCACTTTTCAGTCTCAATAAGTCCTTGCTAATTATTTTAACATTTCAGGTTCAGGAAACCCAAACCCAGTGTTTGTTAAGTGCTTTTTGCCTTGATTTGTATGCCCTCTTATATTTCAAGGGAAGTTGGGTCCATGTGTTTTTGATTCATTTTTACTTAACTCATCAAGACATTGTTCCATGAAGGCCATTTGATGTCCACAGATTCTGCTGAACCTTTTGTTCATTAAGCCATATAGCCAGTGAAGCAATATGTAGTTTATAACAAAAGAACAGGATTAGGAGAGCCAGGAACCAACTATCCTACCTCTGTCTCTCATGTGCTTTCATACCATGATGAATCACTTTTCTAGATATCTTTGTTATCTGGGGAGAAATAACAATCTTTTATGAAAGCTTTAGAGAATTTTATGATAAAATATAATTTTAGAAAGTCTTTGTTGTATGGGTATGTCTTGTTATAAACTAATACCAAGTTGAAAGAATGAGTTTTTTCCTGGTCTTGAGGCTGTTATACTAGTTTTCCTGGCCAAGTACCACAACTTGAATTTAAAATTTCTAATGGTGATTACACAAAACATAATGTCTCACCTGAAAGCATAATTCTTATATGGCTTTATATACTGTGAGAGTTCTATATTTCCTACTTGTTTCCTTTTTGAGCTAACAAGCACACCACCAATCTGTTTAACAATTTGCAGAAAATTAAGAGGTAGATATTTGCCATAGAAAGACATTCATATTTTTGACTCAAAGACAGAAATTCTCCTAATTGTTTTATCTTGGAGTGTGGAATACTGAAGCCAAAGTTCGTCTAAATGGAATGGCAACAAATTTACAGGTATCAACAATAAAATAATTTATTGTTATGCGTTCATTCCAGTCTTCCACTGGGTTCATTATACTACAGTTAACTTGCTGGTCTCTAGGTTCTCGGGCGGCACTCCATAGTTCACCAAGCCTCCAGAGCGCAAAACAGGATTCAAGAATCAGATTTGAGTGGGGTCAAAAGCAGAAGTCAAGGGAGTACTCAATCAAAATAACAAGGAAGTTGCAGGAAACATGTTCAGGTAAACTAATAGAATTTGCCTCTTTGGCTTTTTGCTTCAGGAAGGCATCTAGAAAAGAAGAAAGTGATCACAGCATTGATGAAGATGTTAGAAAATTAAACTTTTTATCCCAAATGCTTGTTTCTCAAGCTCAGAAACTTTGTTATCTATCTATCTATCTATCTATCCATTTATTTTCTCTGGATCACTTGATTTCCGAGCAGGGGTCTGGTATTAGGCAAAGGGTCCAGTCAAACATGGCATAATCACCACCCAGAACAGACTGAGACACATAGGTTGGGTCTTTAGACATGTATGTAGACCCCTTTTCTCAAGCTTCCCAGGAAGAGGAGTGGTTGGACTGGCCATGGCCAGATATACCATGTGTATGCTGCCGGAGAGGCATCTAGCCCCTCTCCTGGTCTTTTTGTAGAGTTCTCATGAAAGCATATAAGGGGAGTAAAACAATGTAAGTTTTGTTACTAGCTGATTAGGGGAAGCACATACCAGTGCTGGGTATACCAATTGTCCAGCACCAATATCCCTTGGAGAACTTGTGCCAAGTTGAAACAGGCTATTGACCTGTTAATACCTATCCTGCTCAGGTGATAGGTATTAACTAATCCCAGCTGACTCCTGCCAGGCATACTAGAAAGATTCACTGGACAAGCCTCTTTGTCTCTCCACAATTGGTAAGCTACCGAAACCTGTTTGGAGAGTACCTACTACTTGCCAAGGGACTGGGAATCTTCCTCTCTTGAGGAAATCAAGAGAGACACAATAACATCCATATTTGATCCATGGCAGGGGGAGCTGGAACAACTAATGGCTAGCCTTCCAGGAGTTCACAGTCTAGTGAATGATGTCAGAACAAATACTGGCCACACAACATGGAAAATTATCTCACAGAGGTGTGAGCTACAGATGACATGATGATACTACAAATGACGTGGTGATCAACTCTGGTGGCAGGAAGAAGGGTTCTTAGAAGCCTTCCCAAGAAGTATATTCTCATGGGGAGGCAGGCTATAGGTAAGGGTTGAAGGAAGGGCATTCCAGGCAGAGGGAACCACATGTAGACAGGAGCCCTAATTACAGCCAAGCCAACGAAGTTTGAAGGAACACCCCCACACAGAGTATTATATATTTTGGAGGAGTCAAATCATAAGAAGCTAAAGTTCAACAGCATAACAGACCAAAAATTTCATAAATTTCATTAAGGAATGCCAAGTCCATTTCAAAGCCAAGATTCTTTTAGAATCCTCTAGAGTATTGAATTGTTCCTCAAATGTCTTCTGTCCCCTCCTCCTACCTGAGTGGCCTGGTTGATATCCTCTTGCAGTTGGTCATGGAGCTGGGGCGATATTGGCTAAACTGACCTTTGGCTTTCTTATCTTTTGGTCTAGGTGTTATTTTTGTCCCACCTAGAGTACCCAACAACCCAAGTACCTAAAAGAAGCACAGAACTCCCCTGCTCAGGTCAAAGTATATAGCTCCGCTAACAAAACTCAAAGTCCTGAAAAAAAGAGCACCCTTCTTTTTAAGGTTGACTGTATCTGTTTATAATTCTTCCTGCTTCAGGAGCTGAGAGGCTTCATACTAGGGGAGTCACAGTGTCATCGCCCATGATCTGCGTCACTGGAAAGTCAATATAGTAAACCCTTTAAAGGCTTACATGTCTTTGCCCTAAAAAAATGACATTCTGTTTGTATCAGGGATGCCACTGCACTCCAATCACCTGCTAATGACTTCCACGGTCCCTTGGTAGCCCTTGTCCCTCTCCATCTCCCTTCTTCCTCAGCCAGGCAGTGGATGAAGTGATGTTCTTGGTAGCTCAGGAAAGGCTTCAGAGAGTTGTGAATTTTCATATTCATACCTCTCAAGCTGGCACAAGAGTCTTGGCTTTTGCTATTCAATAGGAGAAATGGGAATAAAATTTAGAAGCACATAAATAGATTTCTTACTTGTAAATCTTAACATGTTTTGAAAAGCGTGATACATTTAAGTGGGTGAATCTGGCTGATGTTAATTTAGTGAGAGGGAGTATTTGTTATTGATTGCTGGATGGCAAATCCCCTCCAAAATAATAATAATAATCACTTACCTCTCATGCTTCTGTGATTCAAGGAATTGGGATTGGCTCAGCTGGGTGCTTTGGGGTCTCATGAGGTTTTCAGTGAATGGTGTCAGGGCCTGGGGTCATTTTGAAGGCTTTTTCACACACAAGCCTGCTGCCCCAGCTAATGGCTCGAACAAGTGGGCTCCTCGAGGATTTCTCTTTACTTGTTTTCTGTATCATGGCAGCCTTAGGGTATCTGAACATCTCACATGGCAGCTCAGACCCCCAGGGGCATATCTCCTAAGAGTATAGAGTAGAGAGAGTAAGGTGAAGGCCATGTCACTGCCCCTAGTCCACCTACAGAAATGTCAGAGGATTGCTTCCCCTCATTCTGTTTGGTAGAACTGACTCACTAAGTTTGGCCCATGTCTATGGGAAGGGTACTTAGATTCCACCTTTGTATTACAAAATTGTCAAAGAATTTGCAGATTTGTTTTAAAACAATCACAAAGGAAGTCAGGAAGAGGGGGGTATCCACTGAAAATGACAAAAATAGAAAAACATAAAGCTAATTATCACGATATCCACTGGCAATTCTTTGAAATTTGTCATGAATCAAATTCAGACTTTTAAAAATGTCTTATACTGGGGCACGTGCACCCGAATGTTTATAGCAGCAATGTCTACAATAGCCAAACTATGGAAAGAACCTAGATGTCCATCAACAGATGAATGGATAAAGAAGATGTGGTATATATACACAATGGAATACTATGCAGCCATCAGAAGAAATGAAATCTTGCCATTTGCGACGACGTGGATGGAACTAGAGGGTATCATGCTTAGCGAAATGAGTCAATCGGAGAAAGACAACTCTCACATGATCTCCCTGATATGAGGAAGTGGAGATGCAACATGGAGGGGTTAAAGGGGTAGGAGAAGAATAAAAGAAACAAGATGGGATTGGGAGGGAGACAAACCATAAGTGACTCTTAATCTCACAAAACAAACTGAGGGTTGCTGGGGGGAGGGGGGTTGGGAGAGGGGGGTGGGGTTATGGACATTGGGGAGGGTATGTGCTAAGGTGAGTGCTGTGAAGTGTGTAAACCTGGCGATTCAGAGACCTGTACCCCTGGGAATAAAAATATATGTTTATAAAAAATAAAAAATAAAGTCTTATACTATCCCCTTTACCTTTTACCTAGTTTCTAGTTTTTTTGTTACATAATTCTATTTTTTCTTAATGACATCAGTTTTCTTTTTGATTCAGCTGATTAGATTTTGTTTTGCACCTACTGTATGCTAACCATGTGCTGATTCAGATACACATGCAAATTTGTACAGTCCATGCTTTCAAGGAGTTCACAGTCAAAATTACAATTCCTAGTGACAACTGCAACATTGGAAGCATAAACAAGGCATAGTGATGAAACAGATGTGGGAAAGAAAAATCATCTGATAAAATCGCACCACGTATTTTCATTCTACTTCACAGCTTTGCAAAATGAGACCTTCAATTGCACCTGTTGTAAATGGGCCATAAGCCCTATTGTTGTGAATGGGCCATAAACCCTGTTGTTAATATTAATTGAAGTAGTCCTGAAGGTCGTCTTTAATGCTAAAGCCAGACAAAGATTTTCTGAGGTTAAAACACAAAGGCTTAAGCACAGGATTCTCATCTAGGTATAAATTTTGAGATATCATTTGATCTAGTCCTGTGTATCCAAGCAGATCTCAGCCCAGCCCAAATCTATAGAAATCTACCTTACGGTTTTCAGGATAGCGCTACTAGGACTAGCTCTCGCATCTCATATGGTGAAAGATAATCTGCTCCACTGCAGGAAGCCCTGATGTACCAGGCCCTAAGAGGAAGCCCAGGCAGAAAGAGGAGGGTACAGGACAGCACCTCGGGAAGGCTATACTCAAGAGTCTGGAAGAAGGAAGAAAGTCACTGAGGAGACAAGAGACTGGCAGTCGGAATTAGGAAAGGAGAGAGGAAAAGAACCAAGACAGTCCAATGTCAGTGACAGCCCAAGAGGGGAGACTTTTCATAAGGAGAGGGGCAACAACCCTGTGAATGAACCATGTAGGTGAACACGAATAAAGGCTAAGATCAGTGCTTCTCAAATCACAAAGCAGTTCAAGGACGTCACTGGTGACCTTCATATCATAGCTTCAACCGAGTGCCGGAAAGAAAAGCTGCTGAAATTGCCCCAGATCACTCAGCACACAATTACTAGGCAAGGGACCCTGTTGTTTACTGGGATTGCAGCAAATTCCCCAATGCAATTCAACAACTATGCATTTGGGCGTCTACTGTGTT